TCATGTCAACATTTCAGGTCTATGTATGCAAGGATCAAAACGTTCTTATACTGGTTAATATTATTATTATACTTTCATTTTTCATGAACTAATCCAATTTTTCCTGAATTTTAGCCATGTTACTTAATGTGACCTCTAGTGACCTTGGCCTTATACGTAATCCACCTACAAGTTGATGCGATCAAAATCTTGCCCAAGAGATCCAACAATTTTTTGTCAAATTCCAATCATAAATACTTATGTACTGTGTACACAAGTTTATTTTACCTGTGGTTCATACTTATTGATCTTACCAACATTGTCATCCAGTTTTATGTCAGTAAAATGCTCCAGGGGTATGGCATATAGGATTATCAGGTATGAAGTATCTAACAATAGTTATAATTGTGCATAATTCTAAGATTACTTCCTTTTAATACATCTGGAATTCCTCACGCCTTCCCCAACAAGAGTCATCAGAAAGATGACATATCCCCCCGGCAGCTGTCTGTAAAGGAACCACAAGTAAATGTGCAATTCTGTATGTAATGAGTCAAGAGTTGAATGTTCTTGAAGAAGAATACATTGTTTACCCACAAAAGATCCACCATGGTCGCATCCATATGAAATGGAAAGTAAAACAAGTGTGTTTCTGTGTGTCTTTTTTATGCAAACAAATGGCAAATAACAAGAAACAATAACTAAAGAAGCGTATAGTCCACAAAGTCATCTATATCCCCCGCCCATTTTAACACGTTATGATCCCAAACCAGGTAACTGACCCAACATTGCTCTTAGCCCATGTCAAAATAGCTGCAATAGCTGCAAAGTTTTGTAAGAAAGTATTTAACAGTTTTTGAGTTACGTTCCAGAAACGAACACAACCCTTATAGAACCTAAGTCCAACTTGTTGCCATGGAAACGTAAAAAATAAAAATTTCTAAAATTCATATATAGCAAAAGGCACAACTTCACCACTTGAGTGATATAAATGCAAAGTTTGATGAAGAAATTTTTAACAGTTTCGGAGTTCTGCTCTGGAAACAAACATCACTCACAAAGTTAGCCTATGTCCAGCATGCTTTCATGAAAATTGGAAAATAAAAAAATTGGAAAAAGTTCAAAATAGCAAAAGGTACAACTTCACCACTTAAGTTATAGAAATGCAAAGTTTGATGAAGAAATAATTAACAGTTTTCGAGTTCTGCTCCGGAAACGATTCAGACAGACAGACAGACGGACATGCCAATAGCTATACCCCACCGCATTATATGCCGGGGGGGATAAAAAGCTGCATCTAGTTGATGAGGGTTATAGGCTAAAAAAAGTTATGTATTCCCGCATTGCGCATTCGCATCTGCATCTCCTGCGAGGGGTTTGGTTTCCCTCACAACTAATAGATATGATGGCAGTGAAGAGGACATCTGTTGAAAATTTATTAAAATTTTATAGTGCGGTTTTTCAGAATAACATGGAAATTAATGGCTTGGATGTAATAGTATTCTTAGAATTATACAAAACGATAACTACTGTTAGATTTCATATAAGAATGAGATTTCAAATTAAAAACAACACAATTGCTTTAATATCTCCTTTTTCAAAGTAGTATACCTTGTGTGTATCTTTGTCAGGTGAAAAAAGAAATAACACTGTGTTGCAGCAAACTGTGTAACTGTCCACATACCATTTATTAATGATGTGGAAAGTTGTCAAATTTCCAAACATTGAAAGCAGAACAATTGGTCAACACTGATGCGAGTTGTAAACAATGATCAGATTAGGGTGACTGAGTGTTTTGGTGCACAGGTTAAAGTGTGGTTCTCAGCATATACAGGAACTTAGGATGAAATTGAAAACTCTTAACTCCTCCTGACTTCTATAGCATTTAGGATACGCCACTCAACATGACATTACAGCCATGTGCACTTATTGACTCTGCCAAGGGGACACACAGAAAGACTCGCTACATCACATACAAAGTTAGTTCTAGCAACTCGTGATACTGGTAGTTGCGTACCTGAGGTATGTTGACAGATTCCCCTTTTCTTTTTATTTGAATTTTTGGTCAAAATGAAAAGCAAGCACACCAATTTAAAAATAGGATATTTACAGCGATATTCATTTAAAAATACTAAAATAAGGTCCCCAATTTTTTAATAAAATATCCATCGCAAACATGATCACAAATAACTTTCAGTTATTGTTCCAGAATGACCAAGTCTGTGTTGTGATCATGAGTTGTCCACTCTTGATGGTTTCAAGGAGCTTCATGGAGGGTACTCCTTTCTTTGTCAGACAAACTTACAGATGATCACAGGATTGAACCCATACCACCTTCGAGATCTCACCCCTCTGTTTGATGCCTGCAATATCTATCCTGAGACGCTTCTCACTGACGACCTTTGTTGAAAGTACATTTTCATCAAGTGACTTGTTGTCAATATAACAATCTATTGGCACAACATTTTTCTTGGATCCAATATACAGGATTTCACTCAGGAGACGGCCGAAATAACATTCAGAATCTGGATCATCCACCATGGCCAGAGCCTCGGCTGGGAGAGTACTTCTACAAGTACATGTGGACAGCAGTGTTGGTTGCCACATATGTTGGTTCTGTCATGGCTGTCTGTTTAAACAATGTTGTGTGATTTTTAAAGTTGACACCAGTGAAAACAAACTGTCCTCATAGTCGAGACAAGCATTTTTAAGAAACTTGAAAGCAAGCACTGAATCATGAAGGGTCATGTTACATTTCCTTGTTTTACTTTTACAAATTCAGTGACATATAAGTTAATAGACTGATCTCTCATTCTCTTCTACCTTTCAAACTCTATGTAAACATCATGATCTGAAGCGTCCGGGAACAAGTGTCCGGGAACAAGTGTCATGTTCCTAAACACATTGGTTGATTCATAAGTACACAACAGCTTCGCGGAAAGCGTTAAAGTTGGCATGCAGCACGTGCTTCTTGCTGGATGAGAGCAGAATGCGCAAGCTCTAGACAGTTTATTTCAGTTGGCTTCTGGCGTTCATATGTGTAAGTAGTAAATGGATATCTCTCTCTAAGTTACCAAATAGTGAATTAGAATAGGACAGAAATAGAATAGAATAGTTGAGAGAGTTACCCATTTACATTGTTACCATACGGCAACTTCACTTTAAGTTTCAAATCCATTTCATTGTATCTTATTACATTTTCATTGTTCATTACATTACAAGGGGATTTCACGTTTAGTTGATTGCAAGGTAAGTTCATGTTTAGTTGATTGCAAGGTAAGTTCATGTTTAGTTAATCTGAGTTTAGTCTTCCACTGCGAACCACATCATATGCTTCTGAAAGTTCATCTTTTTTGTAAATACCATTCATTTTACTTGTTTGTTCACTCATGCTGTTGATGATATTCTCCAAGCTTATTTGCTCACACTCTCACAGAGCAACGTTCTGCTACCATGAAAACTCTTAACTACTTCTGACTTCTACTGCATTTAATATACGCCACTCAACATGACTGAATATGCCAAGATGAAAGTTTTTCTATTGATTAGGTTTATGATGTTAATTTGTTCATGAGCTCTCATGCTTCTCTGTGGTCCAGAGGATATAGATGTAGACTTGGATTCCAGTAAGGTTGCTGGTTGTGAGTTCAAACCCTGGTTTCAGCAATGAGAATTTTGTATAATCTGAAATGTATATTGAAGCCTCAGTTTCACTTCTTCGTGTCATGTGATTAGGTGTGAGCACACAATCTCCATGCATTAGATGTACATGTGCTGTGTGATCCTCTATGTTGCCTGCCGATTGTCACAGTCTGTATGAAAGTATGTTGGAGCACAAATGTAAGTTTTCTTTTTGTCTTTCTGACATTTTGTGATGATAGGTAAATGCATTTATATGCTATTGTACTTCTTGAGTTGAAAAAGTGAAATTAAGGCATACATTTTGAGAAATGTCAAAAACATGTTTATATAGAAAATTTAGGTCTAAATGTCACAAACTAAATTTCTTTTACTTTGTATTGTAGTTTTCTAAACCTCGTCACCTCGTCACTGGAGGCATCATTTCAACGTTAACAGTTTGTGATGCAAACGAAACTTTCAGTGTGAAACGTTTAACCATATGACACTGACAATAAATTCCCTGTGATGCGAGCGTTTCAGAGTTTTTGTGTTCTTGCATCTACAATGACATAACACAACCATGTGCACTTGTCAACTCTGCCAAGGGGACACAAAAGAAAGACTCGCTACGTCACATACAAAGTTAGTTCTAGCAACTTGTGATACCGGAAGTTGCATATCTGAGGTATGTTGGCAGCAATACACACTAATTTGCACCTAAAACATACATCTTTCTTAGTAAGCTCTAGCACCCCCTGTACGGTGCTTAATGAATTTGATAAAATTTGAGTTCCATGGCAGCTTCAACCTCAGCTGCAGCTGTCTGTCCGTGCATTTGTGTGTGTGGCTGCTTGTCCTAGTCTGGACTTATGCCAATTTTATAGTACAAATGGAGATACCATGCTGCAGTTAAATATGGATACCCCACTCAAACACAGTATACACAGTAGACTCTGAGCCGACCACACCTTGTTTTATCCCTGTAATAACAATGCACTACTGCAATTGGTTTTCTCACTCACTCACTTATGACAAAAGTAAGGGACTTCATATCTGATACAATGTACTCATATAATACCATACCACACCCCTGGGGCATTTTACTGACATAAAATTGGATAACAGTGTCCGGTTCTCAGAATACACAAGAATTTATGGCTATGGTGTAACAGAGGTAGGGTATTCAAAAGAATTATGAAATCTATAAAAACAATTTATGATTCCATTATAATAATAATTAGATTTCCCATTTTTCTATTTTGTAGAATCCTAAGTATCAGTTATATTAATCGGTCTTATCATTGCTTTTGTGTGCCCTTGGTCTTGAAAGAGGCTTTTCCCCCATGCCTGACAATTTGTCACACCTTCAGCAAACTCTTGATACATGACTTGACTCCTACCTTTTGCTGACACAGAGGTTGTTTAGATTCAGTAGATGCAGCAGCTTCTTCTTGTATCTCTTTTTTACTTGGGGCACTTACAGACAAAACATCATTTAACGTAGAACCAACTACCATCACTTTTGCTCCTTTTGTAATTTTCAAGTCTTTTAATGTCATGTCATCCTTTATTAAACCTAAAATGAAACAAAACGTGTCATTAGCAACTGAAGTTATTAATGCAAAAATTAAAATAATGTAACAATGAACAATATTAGTTAAATATTTCTTGACATATCTTGCCAATACCAACAGGAGGGACAGGGCTGGATACCATATCCCCTCATTTCTTGGTTGCTAATCTTAATCATATTTGATTGATATTATGATTTAACAGTGCCATTTCACATAACATGTGGAAATGAACTATACTAACCAAAAAAGTAACGGTGCTACATTTAAAGTTCAATAAAGATACATTTATTCTGAAATTGAATAATACATCTTTCAATAATATTCATGACGACATCTCAACTTTAAGGTGACCATTCACAATTTAAGCCATCAGGTGCTCAAAAAACACTTTTGTTTAACAATAAATAATGCCACAGATTGCTGAAAATCAACATCTACGAGTCGTGGGTATGCTGCAAACAGAAAATATCCAAACGAAGTTGCCAGACATTTTAATGTTCATCGAAACACAATAGTATCTGTATGGAGACATTGTATACATCAGACATTATGTACTCATGATGTGCAATGGGTTGGTCATCCACGTCTTGTGTCAAGTCAACAAGACTACCATATTCGGTTGGTTTATCTACAGAATCGATACCTGCCACATACATTAACAGCTCGGACAATTCCTGGGATTGAGACCAAATAGTGGCAGAACTGTACGAAATTGGTTGAGAAAGCACAACATCCAGAAATACACCAAGTTGTGCTTCCACATGACTATCAGGTAGACAGCATATGAGGTTCAAAAGACAAGTCTGTTCACAGATGAAAAAGTTCAGAGGTTAAACTGGACAGCTCTGATGGTCATGCAAGGGTGCATCCAGGAGAACATTTTAGCGATGCTTGCATTAGTGATTATTGTCAGTTTGTCAACTTATAGGAGAACATAACATTGTTAATGGCAATTTGAATAGTGTACGCTACTGAGACTCTGAGCCGACCAGTCCTTGTTTTATCTCCTTAATGACAAATGTAAGGCAAGGTAACAAGTACCATTTTTTCTAACATCTTTGGTATGGCGCTTCTAGGGATCAAACCACCAACTTTCCGCTCTTGGAATGAAAGGAAACTGGCTGATGAAGAAGAATTGAGTGATAAAGATTTAAGAGCAATCGATCCATTAGTTTGATATTCCCAGTAACATCCTGCTGGAACAACAAGCTGGATCATATACTGAGTCAAATTAAAAACTTCACATTTTTAAAAGTAATCCCATATATGATATACAACGGACAAATGTATCAGAGAAGGTAATTTTTAATCATTAATGTCCAAAGAAGGATCTTAATTAACGGTGGTAACCATAATTTGTTCCAAGCACCTATGGTATTCGGTAATAACATCAACAGTTTAAATCATAAGTCCCAAGCATGAGAATCTGATGGCACACAAGTTCAGTAGCATGTATGGCCACCATGTGCGGTGACAACTGCCACACAACGCCTCTGCATGGACCTTGTGATGCTTGTGAACACATGATTGTGAAGACGATGACATTGTTGCTGCAAAATGGTGCCAAGATCTTACAAATTCTGTGGTTGGTTCTGGAGAGTGTGCAGACTTCTGCCAAGAGCATCCCAGAGGTGTTCGATGGGATTGAAGTCGGGAGACCTTGACGACCAGTCCATGACGTTGACTCCCGCATTCTGAAGGAAATTCCTTGTCAAAATTGCTGTGTGGGGTCTGGCATTGTCGTGTTGGAAGATCAAACTGGGTCCATGTGCTGCCATAAAAGGCAGAAGTTCTGGTGCCAGTACCTGGTTGCGGTAAGCAGCAGCGTTGAGGTTGCCACGGATGACAAGAAGCCTGGAACGTGCATTGCCACAAAAAGCACCCCACACCATGACACTTCCGCCTCGAAATCAGTCAATTTCCTGTACACAACACTGGCTGTAACGTTCATGACAGCGCCTCCACACCCTCGCACTACCGTCAGCAAATCGAAGATTAAATCGGGATTCATCACTGAAGACGACTTGACGTGCGGTATTATTGCCACGTGACCAGTTGCATGTGAAAAAACACTTTTGCCACTATAGTGCTGTGCACATGATTTTGATCGATTCACCTGCACAAAAACAATACGTGGCCATTACTGTTTAAATACACAATAAGGGCCCACAATGATAAGGGTCAAAATGTTAAAATTTTAGGATTGTGAAGTTTTTAATTTGGTTCAGTATATTATTGCACTTGATAAAAAAAGGACAGTATACCGTATTTTCTTGAGTATAGTGCGCACCCATGTATAATGCGCACCCCCCTCTAGCGGGTTCAATATTTTGGAAAAAAAAAGAAATTTGAATATTATGCGCAGAAATTTTTTACACCGTACCCTTTCAGCGAAGTCCGGCAAACGAACGGGTGCTGAGAAACTTCGTCAGTACAAATTCGAAATTTGAGATAAAAAATCACCAGACATGTTTATTTAACGTTTAAATAGTATTTATTGTTCTGCTAGGCATTGTTTTATATTTAGGGATTAAGATTACCTTGCGTATTTTCTGGTAAACTAAGCTGGAAACAGCAATCAGCTGTACACACGTTTTCTTGGAATCGACCGGTGATTCGGTCAAGACACACCCAATGATATAACTTTATAAGATTTTTAATGCAAGGATCGGCAACAATTGTATCTGAAACTATTTTATTTATCAGGAATAATATATTCCATTATTTTCTTAATTACATGCAAACTTTAATAAACATATTTAAAATAATAATAACCCTAAGCGAAGCAACTGATCGCTATTCCCGGGTATTATTTTTTACATGGAACATGTCTGACCAGTCACCGTCAAGGCTCACGCGCACATGATCACGTGATCGCGAGAATTTCATGTTGACATAGAATCGTCAAACAAAAACAAATATGACTTTAAACGAGTCAAAGTATGTCATTTATGATATATGTATCCATTCTCTGTCAACTAAAGTTTGTTTCAAGGCGTCAATAGCGGTATTCTGACCGTGGTTGCTGTTAATAACGGTGAGTTGTGCGATCTTCCGATCGCTTAACACACGATTTCGCCGAAATTAATAAAAACAATATTATAAGGAATTTTGAATAAAATCAATGACATAAGTTACAAACATAAGTTCAGATATACAAAGAACACTTTTTATAGCCAGACAGTGTAATTACATAATTATTTTGCGTACTTCAGTATGGATTTGTTGACATGGTATTCCCGGTGTTTTGTGCTCACGGTAATGTCTTTCCATGGGGGAAAAAAACATCCAAACTCATAATTCGTGTATAATGCGCACCCCCTTCTACAATGCTGTGTTTTTTCGAAAAAAAGTGTGCACTATACTCAAGAAAATACGGTAAGCATACTTTCTTTCCCATGTCATGCTGATGGCATCAACTGCCAAGGCCTGAGATGATCCAGGATAAATTTCATGAAGACATCCCAAAGTGATGCACATATAACATTGACCACTTTTGTTAAAACCCCAGAGCACGGATATGGTGCTGACAAACCAAGGATCATAATCAGGGAAAATCTGGGATTCAAACCCTCGATGACAGGATTTTGGTATTGGTATAGTTATCTTTTCTTCTGTAGCATAACACAGAGTTCAAAACATGTCTCTTCACTAGCAGATGCTCTCCACCAGTCACAAATGAGACTAACCTCCTCTTGGTGCCCTCTCTTTCATCTGGACTGGAGGCTGACACTCTTGGTGGTTGGGTGAACCTTAGAGTTCTTGCATCAGGATAAGTATACCTACGAATATCATAAATATTCTTATTCATAGAAATTATTTCTTATCCTGATACAACATCATGCAAACAGTTGGCAAACTGGTCTGTAGTTTTTTCGCTGGCCAGTCAGTAGCCTGGACCAGATTATGTACTTCACTTAAAAGTTCCGCAGTTGTTGATACTTGGTGACAGTCCACCATCAATCCAAGATGAACACTGTGATTTGAATTCTGATGAACACTGTCATTTGAATTCTGTGAACCAGAATTATCTGGGCCGATTGGGCATGACAAAAACCAAGTGGATTCTGGATTGATGACAGGAACACTGGAAGCTTGTGAATATCGCCACAATAAGACTCATATTAGACCAGCTTTCAACATGTCAGTTAGAACAGACAGGGATGAAGTTGCCATTCTGTCAGAGTGGACTATCCTCACCTTGACCTGGGATGTAACAAGCTCTGGTTTCCAGTGGCACACTGTCATTCAAATGGTAGAAATGAAATGGTCTGTCCAATAGGTGACCTGAGTGTGTTCATCTTATTGATGTGTGCCACCATGAAGTTGTCTGTGTACTTTGGCCCCAACGTAATGGCTGGTCCAGGATTGGAATGCCAGTTCACTGTCACTAATTCAATGTGCTGTCTCATCTGCTCCTCTGACCACACCCCCAAGGTAGAGAGTTGTCCAAGTAAGCCCCCCATCCTTGTAGAAAGGCATCAACGAACAGGTTAAGTGGAGACAAACTCCCAATGATATTCAGTGGAACACATTCCAATGCGACAAGTTCAAGTTGATCTTGATCCATAGGTGCAGGAAGAACAGGGGAGGCCTGGTTTCAAAGTGACACGACCTGTCGCATTTTGTGTTAATGTGAGACAGCATACCTTGCACTGCCATTGGTGAACTGAGATGTCCTGCTCAAGTGTTTGGTGGATCTTGATCAATCTGTAGTAGATGGCTCCTTCTGGTGTCAAATTGTCAGCTCATGAACTGGAGTGTGTGAGCATCCAAACTGAGCAACTACCCCAGCAAGGACAAGAAGGTGCCTGTGAAAGAAGATGTGCTGTGGCAGGATCTAGGAATCTTGTTCTCTCAAAAAGCAGCCTCATCAGGAATGGACACTCTTGTAAACAACAAAAGAGCTGAAGGAATTCCAAATGGAAGAACCTGCCAATGGAAGTGTCTCATTTGGAATAGGATCCTGACGGAATGTTGTTGCAATGGATGTATGGTGACG